CCCCCGCGACCCTTGTGAGGATAAGCGGATCGGAAAATGAATGGATGGCTGGACATTACTATATAAAGGTGGAAAATACTGAGTGGTGTCTAATTGCAGTTGTGTGCTGGTCCTGTCAGGGGTCCATCATCAGCAGCCCGCGACCACACCAGCAATATCACCCCGGGGGGATTCTGGTCTACAGCCCCATGATGGCGCCCTCGTCTCCGACAGCCTACCGGCCACACCGCCCTACTCAGAGCCCCGGTCCAGGGGTGGGCGGTGGGCCGGGGCTCTGTCACAACCAGGGCGGCCCGAACACGTCCCCGCTCGTGAGCGGGGGCGGGGCTGCGACTGGCGCTGGGTTGGTGATGGGGGTCGGGCCAGGCGCCGGGGGCCGGCTGGGGAACTTTTTTGGCAGCCGCAGAGGGAAAGTTCCTGGTCCCCTGACGATGACATCACCGACACCGCAGTGCCCCCCGAGTCCCCTGATGATACCCTCCCCGCCCCATTACCCCGCCCCCGAGCCTCCCATCGCCCACCCGCCCTCCCCTTCCCCATGCCCCTCCCCATCTGTCAACCTTGGCCAATCGGACCTGGGAGGCGTTGGAGGGGGAGGAGGCACAGGAGGAGCACCGTCCAAGCTCCAGGCCTTGCACGCCCAATATTGCCACGGCAACAGTGGGGGCGGTGCGGTCAGCGGGCACCAGCCACAACAGACTCCCCCCCCACCTTACCACCACCATCACCGATACCACGTGCAAAGCGCCCCACAGCACCACCCCCTCATGCACAGAGTGTCGGTCCCACGACGCCAGGTCCAGTCCGGCTGCGCCCCGTCTCACATGCAGCAGCATCAGCGGATCCAGCAGGCCGCCGCCCAGCACCAGCGCTACAACGCAGCCTCAGGTTTCATCACGCCTCCACCGCTTTCCCCACACTCGCCCCTCACCCCAACGACGCCTCACGGACTCTATCGACCGGGCGGCGGAGGCAAACTCCCGCTCACGATTTCACACTCGCAGCCCCACCCTCACGCTCACTCTCACAACCACGCCGTCCACTCCCCGCTAAGCCCCTCTCCCGCCAGCTCGCCCTCCACGCACTTCATCTTCTCAACGCCACCACCCCAGACCCCATCGGCACGCCTGGTCTCCCAGACGCTGCCGCAGCCCTACGCTCCCCAGTATCCACCGCTCTCCTCCATCCCGCCCCCACCTTCGCACTCCCCGTTGCCGCCCCCGTCTGCCGCGCCGCTCTCCCCGCACCCGGGGTCAAGCGGCGGGCCGGGGCCCAAGTCGAAACCGGTCAGTCGGATCAGCACCGTCGTGTGAGGAATTGGCGAGCCAGCACGCCGGCCCATCTCGTCACTGGCCACCGGGCGGCAGTATTCAGATGGAGAAGGGGGAGGAGGGGAGGAGGGCATGTGCAGATGTATCGAAATGGCCGCTTGGTTAGACGGCGAGAAATAAGAGGAGGCAAGAGGAAATTACTGAGCCTGTGTTACTTTCACATCAACTTTCCCTGCAGCTAGAGCCACCCGTCTTGGTACATATTGGTTGAGCCCTCGTTAGGTGGGCGCGGAGGCTGTTGTGAGGAGAGACAACAGTGCCTGAGGCACATGATGGCGACACGTTGCTAAGTGGGTTTTCACCTGACAATTCCAAGGAATGGCCATTGTGGGGTATTTTAGTTAGTTGGGTGCACTTAGAGCCATGCATGACTCAAGCAATCGCTGCTGAGTGTAAAGAGGCGGAAGGACTTTTTTGTTGTTTTTTTTACCTCTGTGGTTGTAAAATGTTGTTTTGGCTCACAGGGTTTCTTCACTCTCCTTGTTATGGATTGGAACAGTGATTTAATTTCTTTACTATGATACACATGTTTTTGTGTGTAAATATCAAGACAGGAAGACAAACATCAAGATGACAAGTCGTGATGGGAAAATGAAGCTTTGTGAAGCACTTGTGACATTTTTTACTCCTCTATGGGGTACTCTTGGTTTGTGTGATAAATGGTAGTGCAATGGAAGTTCATAAAATTTCCAACATTAAACCAAGAGTGCCATTTGTAGGAGTCACTATTTAGTGCTTCATGAAGCTTCATTTGACCCAATCAAGTCAAATTTATTTATACAGCCTTCATCACAAAACGTCTCAAAGGGCTTCACAGGCCCAATATTAACGGCATCCCCTGAACTTAAATCCCAGAAGGGCAAGAAAAAACGTTTTAAAAACATCTGGGGAAAAATGACAAAATCTTGAGAAGGGGCCACAGATAGGAGAATTCCCCCTTCCATGATGGACAAACTTCAAGATGAGAAGAATTCTGACAAACATTGCGCTAAACATGAAACTAAACATCAAGTGAAAACACAAAGACAACATCGACTGAAACATCAAGACAAGAAAAACACAATCATCAAGTCAAACAGCATCTGGACAAACTGCAAGGCAAAAATCTCACATTATGATGTATACAGTGTATCTATCATGTATCAGATATTCCAAAGGTATACAAAAGCATATTGATGTCTAGATGTTTTTTGTATGAGACACTCTGTGTTGCCAAGAAAGGAGATTAAGCTATTATCATGAGATCAAACAGGGTGTATTGTGGAAAACAGTCTTTTTTTTTACATAAATGGCTTGGTGGTCATTGATTCTAATTAGGATATTAATCCTGCGTAATTCGTTAAAATTTGGTACCGTTAGGCAAAATGCATATTGTAAGTAGACAGTGTTACAACTTCATGGCTAGTAGTGTTTCACACGCTGTTTTGGCATTCTACATAAATGGTGGGGCAAACAATCGGCCCGGTCATGATCGGTGGCCGATTGATCTGAGCACCATTACAAAACATGTTCGTGAAATTGACCATTTGATGCATATTTTATTACATTTGTTTTATGAAATGATTGGTTGATTGAATATAGTTATATTAATTACAGTGAAACTCCTCTACAACGAAATCATGTTTGCAGCAAAAAAACAGGGGACTTTTCACAAAAGCAAATTTATCTCAGATGTAAACACACACACACACACACAAACATATGTGTACTCTTTATTTTTATTCCAATAGTGCATAAGTATGAGCATACACTTATTTGACACTTCATATAGCCAGCGTAGAAAGAAAAAAAAGGGAAAGAAATTGCAAAATTTACAGTCAACATTCACTTTCACTTACATCAATTTCTTGCATAAATTTTACTTTGCTTCCTCCATCTTTCATTTGTATTACTTTTATCCTGTCTTCAAGCGTTAAAGTATTTCTTTTCTTCACTCCTTGGTCTGCAAAGGTCCATTTTTGTTGCCATTTTAGCAATGCAACGTTCGTGCTGCGTCTGAAACTAACAATAACAAATGCTTCCTGTACTACCACGCATGTGAAAGCCACTGTGGTGTTTGCTGTTGCCGTTTCTGAGCTAAGCAGTAGGAGTCGCTGTAGGCTGAGGTTGGATTCGACTTTTGTGGAAGGCTTGTTTTCGTTGTAGTGAAGCTCGTTGTGAGGCAAGGGCAGAGAAAAAGATTTCATATTACACAACAGGGGGATTTTTCGTTGTAGGGGGAGCAGAAAAGTGGGAATGGTTTTAATGCATGAAGATTTGTTCACAGGAGGGGGTATTTTCGCCCATGTAGGTTTCATTGTAGAGGAGTTTCACTGTATAAACAATGAAGTTACAAAATGAGATTGCTTCATTGTTAAAAGTATCTATTTCGATAATTTGGTTAGTTGTTAAAATTAAGTTATTTGTAAATGCTGAAGTTCCCCTTGAGGGGTTATAATAAAAAATGTTTAATGAATTTTAATTATTTTATTAAAATGAACTATTTTCATAATTTTGTCAAATAATTATAATTACATTAATTATCAAGGATATGTTGATTTTCCCCCTTGAGGGATAATGATAATTAAAATGAGATGTAAAAATTTGAATACGTTCAAATGTAAAAATATGTCATTTTATTCAAATGAAATCTTTTACGTGCATGCTTTAACTTGGCCCATCTGTCCTTTTTAAGAATCATCATCATGTAATGTATGTCCTAACATGGACTACAATAGCAATGTTTGCTCACCAAATGCGGCTAATCCTAATAAGAATCTTGCAAAGTGGAGAACAAGGTGCCTTCTGACAGGAGGATGGTAAAATATGAATCACGTTTTAATGGACTATCATTTCACACCACATCAGATTTAAAGGTATTTATGACTTTTAGGGAGGACCTACACGTGTACTTTTCTATGATTATGTTGATTTTTTTTTGTACTTATGCAAATATCAGTGTCGCCTTTGTGAGTGTGTGCATGTGAAGTGTGCGCAGTGTGTGTTTTCTTGAGTCTGCGCGTGTGCGTGCCTGCGTGCATGTGGTTGCTTGTGTGTTCTTCAGGGTTCTGATGAATGCATTTGAACTTTATTATTTTCCAAATATGCGTGTGATGTGTTACATGCAGAAAAGACGTGATGGTGTTCCTCTAGACACCTTCTTGGCACCCCTCTTCTTTTCACTCCCAAGAAACACGATTGCGCTCAATCGTACTTTTCTATTTTTAAGCCTCATGTGGAATCGGCCCGGCTAACAAAACATTTACTGTAGACTTGATGACCAAAATTCTTCAATGAACATGTCACATAACTTCATAACTCCAAGTGTCTTTACACTGACTGTCGTACCGCTTGAAGATGACTTGAAGTCTTTAGACTGAACATATAGTTGTAACGAGGCCTGAGGACAACTCGATTATAGTGTTTAAGTGTCTTTGAACTCTACATGTCATTTTACTTGATGACTTGACATTTACTCTACATGAAACACGTCATTGAACATAACTTGAAATCATTACACTGAATATGGCAAGGTTTTTTTTGATGTCTAGACTACGTCAAATGACTTACATCATGGTGACTTGAAAGGTCTTCACAGTGAACACAAGTCAATTGATGATGACTCATAGGGCCCTATTTTTGTACAGTGCAAGTCTAGCGCAAAGTTCATTTTAATCGTGCGCATGGGTGGGATTTCCTTTCTTTTGGTCTTTTCGTAGAGGGCATTTGCGCTGTTGTGGGCGTAAACACAGCCAACTTGATTCCCACCCAATCGAAGCAGCTCCCCTCATTCCCTTTAAACTTAGAGCAGGAGAGGTCTACGGTCAACATGGCAGAAGCATTACAGACTCACTGGTGCAGGAGATTGGCGGGTCCATAATACGTTCATAAGGAGTGGCAAGAACATCTCCACTTGCGGGTGATGTAAAACTGGCTTCTGCTTCTGATTCAGAGGGTGTGACGCATGCTGACGTCGTATTTACAAATGAAATATGATGACATCCCCCAAATTTGTGTCGTACCACCTGTGTCACAACTTCGACCTTTTAGCAGGTCTAATTTCGAGTCTACTTTCTGCCACTAAATTGTCTGGTTCATAGGAGAGGTTCAATAGAAAATGCCCTTGGTCTTCCGAAGCACCCAGCGAGGCGTAACACCCTGGCATGAAAAGTAAGATGCACCAATTTTTATGCCGAGCGCACATTTGTTTGTCTACGAAAATAGGGCCCCAAATTTTTTACACCGAACACATTAGATGACTTAAGGACTAGATGAGGACTTTATTGTCTTCATACTGAACATGTCACATGACCTGATGACTTGGTGACAACTTTAAATGTCTTTACATGGAATATATCATGTGAGTTTATGTTTTGATGCTCAGATCCTTTTTTGGAATGATGTAACAATGATTTCATAAAGTACTGTAAGACTAATGCCATGACGTAATGGAAAATGCAGTGTTTGGGTCATCGCGTTCGAACGCCAACTTTGCCATTCGGCGTCACTTTTGTCGCCAATGAAACTTTTACACTTGCAGGCTTGTCTTAACACTGCGCTCACAAATACATTTGACTTCAAAGGAATATTTCCCATGACATGTTTGATTTTGCATCGATTGAGCGTTCACTTAAAAGCAATCAAAAGACTGGATGACATTGAAAAAGCGTGTCTGTTTTTTTGTTTTTTGTTTTTTTTTAAGGTTCAGCACGTTGACGTATGAAAACACGCAAAAATAGAGGCATGATGCTCTCTCGGCCCAGCTCTTCTCTCCATTATTGCTGTGCATGTCTTATTTATTATTACAGTATCTGCACTGAATGGAACTTTGTATAAAAAGCCACCATGTACATAAAAACATGTTGTATTCAATGAAAAGCAGCTCTTTTCGTCAGGAACCGACAGCGACATTTTTCATTTTACAGAAAATCTTTTATGACTGCTGCTGCGGGCAGAACAGGGATTGTGTTTTTTTTTCTTTTAAAGAAAATCAAACCGCAAATGTTGTCTGTGCTTCCTGTGCTGAGGTAGTACGTGTACAATTGTACCAGTAGTGTCAAATACTGTACGTGTCCACAGAGATTACATTATTTTAAAGATGATTTAGCCATGTAAAAAATATTACTTGTAACTTTGTTTTGGACAACGTTGCACAGGCAAAGTGGAAATATTTATTGCATTGAACATATAAAAATCAGTTCATGTTGATGGAAGGATGCCTCGCGCTCTCTTTTTGTTGTTGTTTGTCGTATACAGTACAGTACTGTGCAGCCACACATCCACCAATCTGTTACCTCTTCTGCTTATCCTCACAAGGGTCGCAGATGTGCGGGAGCCTAACCTATCTGACTTTGGCCAGCGTACAACATTTTGGTCACTGAGAGAAACTTATATTCACATTCGCATTCAGAGAATTAATAGGCTTCAATTAACCTAGAAAACCTGTTTTTGGAAGGCAGGAGGAAGTCGGCGCATCAGCAGGAAAAACCCAGAACCAGTGACACCCTTTTACAAAACATATACAAAGTATGGTTTGAAAAAGTAATAATCTCCTTGATCACAAGCAATGTCTTCGGTTGCAGAGTTACTGTGTCTTTCCAGTGTCTTAATGTATTCTTTCGCCAAAATATTCTAACTTAAAAAAATTATCGACATATTTTTCCAGCGTCTTTCTTGTCATGGTAAAATTTGCTCGTTTTAAAATACATCATGTATAGAATACATTATATAAAATATGCCTAACTTATATTACTTTATGAACACACTCAGGAGCCGAATGCCTTCATTCATTACGGAGAGTCGATTCTACGAATCGGCTCTTTCGCAGCCGAAACACCGCAAATACAACTTAACCAAAGTGTAGAATAGGTTGACAGACAGTAACAGCACTCGTTTGTCCGTCTCTTCTTCCACATCACTCATGCATAGTGTTTGTGACGGACAATAGTGACTTTGACAACCAGAAGCAGGGCCCAGAGTGGAGGGAACAACCGAATGTCTAAGAAGATGAAAGCTGTTTTGTGGCCCATGGACACACCGCCAAACACAAATGCCTTCCTGCACCACGGCAACAACTTGACTGAGCAATCAAGTAAGTACCGCATTTTAGAAGCTAAACACACCTAAAGCTAGCACTCAAGCCATTCAATGGCATTATCATCGGGCCAACAATTCATCACCAAGATGCCAAATTACACTTGTCGAAAAGTGAAGTGGTGTGCCCCATGACAATTTAGCCCAACATTATAACAACATAAGAACCAAGATAAGGAAGATGTCACTGCTAGTAATAAGTGCTCACATTGAAACTTTGCTTACATTTTGGCTTTGACTCGATAGTGTTGTGGCAGCAGTGTCAAAGTGGTTGGTCTTGCTGCCGAGTTGTAATTGACTGAGAAACTCATTGATGATGTAGTTATTATGTCAATTAGTTTGTTTACAGAGATGTTTTTAGAAATAGTCAGCTAACTCAAGAATTACATCGCACTTGATGGGTGGGCGGGCACTCCAGAGACAAAAGAAATGGCAACAAACATTGAAAGGTTAATTTGTCATGATCACAGATTATGGATGAATAAAAATATCCACAATGAACGCTTTAAAAGGATTTGCGGTCTGTGATTGGTCATGTGTGTAACAGACGCGGTCATTAATAAATACAGGCGAAAAGTGCTTGGGGTACATGCATAAATCCATCCATCAGGACCTTTTTTAAATCTGTTTATCATCACAAGGGTCGTGGGCGTGTTCGAGCCTATCCCAGCTGTCTTCGGGCAGTAGGTGGGGGACACCCTGAACCGGTTGCCAGCCGATCGCAGGCCACACATAGACGAACAACCATTCGTACTCACAATCACACTAAGAGACAATTAAGAGTGTTCCATCAACCTTCCATGCATGTTTTTGGAATGTGAAAGGAAACTGGAGTACCTGGAGAAAACACTTGCAGGCACGGGGAGAACATGCAAACTCCACACAGGAAAGCCGGAGCCGGAATTGAACGTGCAAAACAGTCGACCACTCTCATGCATAAATATCTAACAATATCAAAAATTATATTCATAATAATAATGAGTCAATCTCCTTAAACATTTGGACAAAACGTACTGGGTTTAAATGGTTGATTAAGTGTTTTGAATTATTTGTAATTATTGGGGCGTGCTCTAAATTTAGGGACCTATTTGGTGGAGGAGGTGGATAAAACCAAAACATTTTGGCATGGTCCTTCAAACAAAAGCAAGTCGTCACGAACAGGATTCGAACCTGTGCGGGGAAACCCCATTGGATTTCGAGTCCAACGCCTTAACCTCTCGGCCACCGTGACTACGTAACGTCACTGTGTTCACGTCTATCAATTTTATTCAAAGAATTTCTTGGTGCTGGATAGGTGTGCTGTAGAATAGGACGTTTTTTATGGTTGCGCGTAACTGACATTGGTCAGCTATTAATACTTCGTGTGCTCGGGAAATCCAACCAAACCCCGAGTGACGTAATCAGTGTGTGACGACTGAGGGAAAAATGTTTGTGTACTTTCTTTTCAGCCTTGCATAATATATTTTAGGAATCGATGTGAACACCTCATTACAGTATATATTTTTATTATACAATCGAATTAAATTGGATAGTTTTGACAGTTTTATCCCCACTACCCAGAATGCAGCACGACTGAAACATTTTAATTGGCTACTGAACATCAAGCCCTGCCTTGGGAAGTTCTCTGTTGCATTCGCCGAAAACAAACTTGACCGGTCACAAGCTAAAATGATTAATTGGAAGGTAATCGATTCAGACGTATGATATCAGAAACGACATTTAAACGTGTAATTGACTGCTTGTTCGTTCGTCTTCAGCTATAGGACGCGTGATTTTTTTCCTTTTGTTTTTACAAAAAGCCTACACTGTCTGATGTCGCTCGCGTCATGCTAATGCTGATTTGCTCAGTGTGGTACTCGCTGTTTATCGTTCGCCTTTAATAAAAGTGCCCAATAGTAACGCGTGTCTATAAAGATCACACGCGCGCGCACGAGTGTTCCACTGGATGGCTTGTGTGCAGTCACCTCGCTGAGAAACAGACACACATATCGACGACATTTAACTTCGCATTGACCCGTATATGGCCCTGGCATGCTGCTATTTGGGGATGAAGTTCAGGGCGCGTGTGTGTGTGCGCGTGTGTGTGCGTGTGTGTGTGTGTGTGTATATATATATATATATATATATATATATATATATAGACTTCGAGATTTTCACGTTCAACATAAAATGCACTAATCAATTGAATTTGCCCTTTTTGAAACTTTTGAAAGTACATGTCCATCTATTTAGTGTTAGTGCTTTTTGCACAACTTGCTGCATCTCTGTTTCACTCTGTTCCGTTCTCACTGACCATACACAGTGGACGTTTGTCAAAAACGATACTGAAGTATTGAAGTACAAGGACGTAACTCACTCAGTCTCGTAACATCGGAGAGAACACACGTCAATTCCTGTTCCTCACCCAAAGCTGTCCCACTAGCAACGTCAACTCAATCTAACAATACTGTACTATTGTTACATCCTCTACCAATGAGCTGAGCGGCAAAAATCCGCAACGTCTAACTTAAGAGTTTAGAGGTCCAATTAAGCCTTCAAGTTTCCTGAGCAAAAATCAAGCAAGTCATGTCTTGTGTAAAGCATGTAACAAGCCATACAATCTTCTTCACTCACACAATATATTAGCCACTTCACACTCAATATGTTCTTTCACTCCTGAGCTGTACTGCCCGAATATTTATTAATGGTTCCAGAATCAGTTTCCGTATTCTCTATTATTTTTCATCTCAATTAAATATATAGCCAATATGAAGTTAAGGTTTCACCAGCTACTGGTTAGCCAAACTGTAAGGTTAACATACCAGTAGTTAATGGGTTTGACAGTGTGAAGTTTCTTGCTTGCAATGACATCAATGATCAGAGAGACGACGACATCGTGGACAGCTTATCCTTTTATCCATCTTACGCCCGTACGTACGTACACGTAACTTAACTGGTCAGTTGTCAGCTGCCTGTAGTGTCAGACCACACCAATAGAGGGTGCTAACATAGTGTGGACAGCCGTGAAATCCCAATTCACATTTAACTGCATGCAACCATTACAGACAGTGACAAAGGTTGGATATTGTAGTGGTGTCTCATCTTTTCGTTGAAAACCTTGCGTGTTACAATTATTTTAACCGATTTTATCAATAACATATTTCATGCAAATCTAATGAACGTTGGAGCTCTCTGCATTCTGCGTCACAGTATACAGGGAGGATCCCAGGTTTGTGCGGGGTAAGGATGAGTAATTTTGTTAAACAGCCCTGTCTTGAATGAATGACAGTAGTTCAAATGTAGAATGACCTGGCAAGTCATTTAGTCACGTGGCATCTCATGAATACCAAGTCAAAAATCAAGTTGTCTCTCTCATAAATTTCAGCCAACCAAATCCAAAGCTGTAACATTTACTCCTTAAGACTGACTCCAAGCAAGTCATGGGAGTCACATACATCACTTCTGGGACAGTATTTACTGGGGCTTCTTTGCAATTTATTTCGTGTCACTTTTTTCAGTCACTCCTCAGTGGTCGAGAAACGAAATAGTCACTGCACTTCTTTTGTCTTATGTTTGTTGGCAGGCTTTGGACAACGTACCCGTCCTCTTGTACATTTTAGCTCTGAAGACACTGATACTATGTTTGGGCTTTGCTGGGGTGAAGATCTACCAGAGTAAGAAAGCAGAGGCAGCTCTCAAGCAGCAGCAGGCTGAGAGGAGGAAGTTGGCCCAGAGGACACAGGAGCTCATCGATAACTTAAAGGAAGACTGACAGGAGCTGCGAGACGCTGGTAGTAAAGCTGATATGCCACTTCACGTACCAATTGTATTTTAAAACGGATTACACACATACCAACTCACACAGGTTTTCTTTTGAATGTGAGAAACCCAACACATGGCGGTGAAAACATCTCTCCAGAGATGGGCACTTTACCCTATTTGCGCCCTTGCTTAGTCTGTCCTTTTTAAAAAAGTTCTCGTCCTCCGTTTGCAAATTGGGCATCCATCCAGGACGCACGGTTGGACCATTACGTCCCAGGGACGGAATGCCCATCTCTGCATATCTCTTATGTTCCTACTGCAGTGGTATACTCTCTAACATGGCACCTATGTTGGTTGACATACCAAGATCGGCAGCACAGTACCACAAGGTTCTGAACCAGTTTATTGTTTACAATTATCAACCTTTGAACGGTTTCTGAGCAGAGTGTGGGGGGGGGGGGAATCAGCTTAATGCAGCCCATACCAAATGATATTGGCTCAGGATATTCTTTTAGATGCATATGAGGGCAGGCCATTCACTGACTTTGATTGCAAGGAAGTGAAATTGCTCTTATGTGAATCTGTTATGGATATGTGTACCCCCCCCCCCCATTACACTGTCATAGTCTCAACATTTGTCTTGTCCTTTCACTTTCTAGGGTCAAACAACACATCAAGTGACCTGACTGCAACATGAACTCATGTCTTTTTAATCCCCTTGGTGGGTGATCTACAAGAAATTGCACAACAATGTATTTATTGAATTTTGTAATGTGTATTATTTGGAGTTAAATTGATAAAAATGTGTTCAACACTCACTGTATTGCACTGTGTTGCATATTTTCGAGTGATCCAGTTCACTTACAAGTTCATGTATTGCACATTTTGATAAGCAATATCTTATCATGTACAAGGCTATTACTGACCTGACTTGTGATTTAGTCAGAAAAAAATAATTCAGGATTTTAGGAACTGATGAGAGATAGAAAAGTTGACTTATGAATTGATAGTTTAAATCAGTGTTGTTGGATTTCAATTTGATATAACTAAAAACATTTCTCTTCAACTCTAAATTCTGAGAACTATTTAAATGTGTTAAATACCTGTCTCATTACACTATTATTGTATCCAGTACTTGCGCAGCCTGGACCAGGTATTGCCAGGTAATCATGTCTAAAATTAAACTTCTACAAAGATAAACCAACCTTTCAGAGTCATGAGATGAATCAAAATCTGATGACTCACTCCAAACGCTAACCTATTACACTTACGTTAAAAGTACTTGATGGTGCATGTGACAAAACAGTACAGTACTACAGTATTTCCCATTACGAACAAAAAAGCTACCCATTCTTAATTATTGTGTCCCAATCGTTTTCCATTTGGACGTCCAGTGTTATTGTTTTCCAACCATTGAAGCACATCACAAAAAAAAAATGTCAAAGTACACACACAGGTTGCATTCAAGTGACTTTAATTGATACAGATTGGACAACCGTGAAATATCTTTCAGTGAAAGCCACACCCTGATGGTGATCAACTACTTTGCAATGCTCTGCACCCAAATGCTAAATGTGACTGCATTCATGTTTAGGGAAAGACACGTCGCATGGTGCACCAGCATGAAAAAACGACGGGAGGCGTCACATTGAGAACACAAAAACTCGTGCTCCGGATCAGTCGTCGGCTATCAGACACGATGGGAGACACGATGCGAGTCGAGATCTAATGGCGAACCGTTCTGCTTGCAAGTGGCTCGAGTGGGGACTAGATTGGAGCGGTGCAGTTTGGGCAAATGGCATCATCGGTCCAGAGGTATCGGCGCACCCTTTGGTTGAGTGAATGGATCCAAACTGCAGTGGCAGCTGTCCCTTTTTGGTTTGGCGATGTGACGGGTACAGAGGAGAACATCTGTCAGAGGCAGAAAAGTCAATCAAATGCAAGCAAGAGCTAGACAAACATCAAGAGGTCGTCAGTTCTGCCAGAATTTTGTGGGCTTGTTTTTCAAGACTTATCGTGGAAAAAAATTGCAATTGAAGTTTGGATTTTTAAGAGCTTTTGTTGTGATGAAATTAGCATTGAACTATTTTTCCCTTTTAATTCACATGATTAACTTATGAAATGTGTACAGTGTATTTCGTTATAAATGTAGATTATAATTTGCAGTGCAACGTTACAATTGTGCAGGTGACAACTACAATTGGAGGAAAGCTACGCTACAATGATTGGTCCAAGTTGCTATGCCTGAATGAAATTGCAAATTTGCATATAATTCACATAAATCGGTTGAATTTGTGTGAATAGTTGCAATTTCGACTGTATGAATTTGTGGCTAGACCGTGGTGGTAAACTTTAAATGTACCTGTTAACTCCACCCTGAGGTGAAATGGAGGCTGACAAGTCTTTTGGAGGGCTCGACATAGTAACATAAGCATCCAGAGGCAACACGCAAGAAGTGCGGCTGACCTGCGGTGACATCATCATCATGTAACCGACGCCCTCCCCCTCACAGCATTCACCAGCACAGGGCTGCTTCCTCATGTCCATGTAGCGGTCAGGCTCAGGCAATTCAGTGCTATGTAAGCTGATAGGATATTGAGGTTCTGTTGTGTTGGGCTCTTGGAACTGCGTTGGGCCCATCTGGACGTTGGGCTTTTTTTTCTCTCTGTATTTGGGTCTGCAGCGTTTGGGGACCAGGAGCGGATTGTGGTTGGAGGTTGGGGACCGGTTGAAATCCGGAAGCGCCCGCAGCGCTCTGACAGTGTCCCGAACCACTTCGTGAATGTGCTGTGCTGTCAAAGCAGAGGAGGAAACAGGGTCATGCTCCAATGGTCAAATGTCAAAGAAGCACGAAGCTCAGTAGCACCTTGGTCTCTCGCTTCAAACCAAAGTTCTCCGGGACCGACCGGTGCTGATCGGCCAACCTCCAGGAAAAAGGAGCCCTCCAAATGGCCGAAGCGACGGACGGCAAGTAAAGGTATCGTTACCGAGGGGAAGTCAGTGAATGCGCCCACTCGGAACAGGATGAGAGAGGTCGCGGTGAGGCAAAGGTGAAGCTCACCTGCCAGAGACTTGGAGCGACCCAGACCTCGTGGATTCACCAAGACAGGCCAAACCTTGAGCAAAACATACATTTCATATTTTCATTGCTGAAACTCATTTTCACACGTTTGCAACAACAAAAACAATTAAAATCATGCGTGTGCAGTTAGTTTTATAAAAGTTGGATAGTTGACAAAAACATTATTTTACAATGAGATTTTTATTTTCATAATTGTTAACATACTCCTTTAACTTTTTTTCATTTTTATACGTGGGTAAATGTGTTATTACGTCACGTTCACCACTGTGTTAGTGGATTTCCCAAAATGCAACAGTAAAATACTTTTTACAGTGTACAATTTAAAATTAGTAAAACAATAGTACATACACATTTGTTTATTATAATTAAGTTAAACTCAAATACAATTAAGACAGCAGAGTGAATTATGATTGTATTCAAATAAACAATTTTACATATAAATTGTAACATTTGTTTTTCAACGACCAGACCAATCCATTTTTTAAAAATTAAATATGGACCTTGAGCACAAAAAGTAACCATTAACCCACACATGTTCAGTGTTACGTCGATGACTATCATTATGCAATAAGAATTAAAGGTACTTTGACCAAATGTGATGCCGTACAGTAGCTTCAAATTCCCAAAAGGTAGGTTACTCTTTGACAACCGGTTACGCTGTACAAAAAGTGACAAGCTGATCAAACCTCTTTAAAGAAGGCCGCAGGTGGTAGAGTGCAATAACCATCGTCATCATCACATGCCTGATCTTCATCTCGACACTCCTCCATCATTTTCTTGATGGACAAGTACCACGCTTCCTGATCTTGCTGGTTGTCGGCCACCAGCACCATCGTCTGGTCCTGAGCATACAGTGCCACCGTGAGGCCTTTCCTGAAAGTACTCAGGCGGCCCACACTAATGCAGCACCTCAAGTAAATTACCCTGAGAAAGAGAAGCTCATTTTATTTTATGTTAGCATAATTATTGTAGCCTGAGCAGTAAACTAGTTGAAAGGATTTGCCTGGTGTGTGTGGTGCTATGCAAAACCTTGCCTTGAAACAACACAAAAACGACAAACCCTTGCTTGCTCAGCCCAAACAACGTTGCTTTTCCAGACGACTTCTCCATTGCTGCAAACTTCTCTTGGGACTTGTACCACTCAAGTCGACTCGGTCCGGTGTGACTTCCTGCTCTGAGGACAAAATATCTTCTGTGGCTCCGCTCGAGCTTGCCCAGGTAACCTTGTTTGACTACATCAATGCGCTGCCCTGAGTAAGTGACGAGGGCACTGACCAGATGCACGGAAGTCTGGCTGCTGCAGAAGAATTCTTCATACGAGTCAAAAGGAGTCACCTTCACACCAACGTGATGGCCCAACTCGCCACCACTTACTGGCGTCTGACAGTCACTGCAGGAGGAAATGGTTGCCATGCGCATTTGCTCCGAGTCAGGAGCCCTTCTGTTGTGCCTGTCGACTATCTCCTTCATATCCTCAGGGAACCCTGCACAATTGTTTGAGGAAGATGACAGGTGAGGAAAAACAATCCATTTCTCACAAATGAGTTTCCTGCTACTGAGATCATAGGTCCCGACCTATTGGAGGGGGGTGGGTGCTAAATATGTACAGTAAAGAGCCCTACTTACATTTTAGTTTTTGCTCGATCATATGACATAATACTGGAATTGTAGTTGTGGGTGCATTTAAAGAGCGTTTAAGACATTGGAAAGAAGCAAATTTAGACATTTTTAGCTACTCCAGCTCATGACCAACTTAATCAAAACAACAGTTACCGGGGGATATTTTCAAATTCAATGCTTAATACAACGTGAAACGATGATTACAAAATGTACAAAACTAACTGACTGTCTCATTGGCTAACAAGTTAGCTGACCATGGCATATTTGTCCAAAATCGTCAAGCCAAAACTCACCCAATTTCAACAGTTATGAACATCTATAAATTATTTCCGTTTCATTTGTTGCTGCATGTCGAGGTTAACACAGGGTATTTACGACTTCTTTTCGCAACACCATGTCTCAATTGTGGTCAGGTGTATCGGAGCGCTAATCAGCTGAGGATTTTTGGGGGGAGGGGTTGACACATTTAGATACATTTGTGATCTGTGGCGTATTGCTGCCATCTACAGTCCTTTCTTGGAATGGCAAGTTTGGGCAAATGGCTGAGCCCAGCAGCAGACCAGGACAAAGCACCCATATAGGAACTTTAAACGTGTACGATGTGTTGTTTTAAACATGTCTTCAAGAGCTACCAGAAATGGCAATATCCAGTGTTTCCATATCATTCATTCATTCATTCATTCATTCATTCATTCATTCATTCGTTTACATCATATCATATTTGTATAAAAACATGATATGCATGTAGGCTAATTCATTTTTCTCCAAAGACACCAGCCATAAAATAATGTTTAACAAGTCCCTGTAGTTCTGCTCGTTATCACAGCACGCACAAGAAGTTAGCGAACCCGTTTTCCCGTTTGGTCTCGTGATGTGCGTATTCAGAATCAGCTTGTAATATATACATTTAAAAACATAACAAAAGATAATGTAAAGAAATAAACTGGTTTGATAAAGTATACTTTTTCGGGCAAATCGTTCTCTCTCTCGCTCGCTCGCTCGCTCTCTCTCTCTCTCTCTCTCTCTCTCTCTCTCTCGCTCTCGCACACACACACACACACACACACACACACACACACACACACACGCGCGCGCAAACTCAATTTGCGCGACGTAGGCGTTTAAGGGGCGTGGCATAATGAAGACGTCAGGATTTGCAGTCAGGTAGGCCATTTGTTCTGATCTGCCATCTGGTGTGGATAGGAGATCTGCCTGCCACTTTATGTCATTGGCATAAACGGATGAACAAAGAGACATTGTTTGCTGTAAAGAAATGTTTCATTGTAGTGGAGGTAACCATATTGCATCCCACCCCAGCTGACTTTGAGGGATATGCAGGCAAACTGTGGACTGTTCACAAGGCAAATAATGCCAATCTTTTACACTCACATACACATATATGTACAATTTAGTGCCACCAGTTAACCTAAAATGCATGTTTTTGGAATGTGGGAGGAAGCCAGAATGCCAAAGCTTTGAATTCAAACCTGTGAGACAGATGTATGAAAAGGTTGGCAAATGTGCCACGCTCAATTTGTTCACATTAACAATTATTTCAAATAACATCATCAAAGCCGTTGTCAAACAAATTCTTTGTTTGGGATCTAACAGCCACACCAAGCAAAAGGAACCAGTGCGTCTCAGTATGATTACAAAGGAGGATGTTCATGACCAAATAATTGCAAAAAACAGGTTTACATAACAACATTGCATAACAATTTTTTTCATTGCTGGTCACCACCAAACTGCTTTCTCTGTCTGGTGCCAAGATGTCTCTCCTCTTGCGCGTCTTTTCTCAAGTATTCTGCTGGGCCACCCTTTGTCAGGTTCTACAAGTGGCTGCTGCAGGACTGGTCACTTTAGTTACAATCGGGACTACCCGGTTGTTGCTTCAACATGCTTGGTTCACTTATAGGCTGTCCTGTTTTAGAAAGCCTCATGCGGATTCTTGGCTGATAGGTCACCTGGGTAAGGTAGGTCACATGGGTTTATACAGACATGCATTATAACTGCTCTTAAAATAGAAATTTGTCAACTTGTTTTTTTTTTTTGTGCCCTGCTTGATGAGGACTTCTACAATGAGCTATTTCTTAATTGTCTGTGTATCAGATGCAGAGTACAGAGGAAGGTCTGCTCCAAGTGGATGAGTTAGTGCAGACATACAAACATTCCTGCAGCTGGTTCATCGGGCCCTTCTATCATTTGGTCAGACTCTTCCACCCAGACTATGTCAAACCTCTGCTAACCGCACATGGTAATGTAATATTTTCACTCTGATTGTTTATTATGGAGGAAAATATCAATTCAAGCTGCAGCAATGTCACTTTCTCCCTCTGCGCAGCCACTATTACAGTAAAAGATGAGTTCATCTATGGTCATCTCCGTCCATGGCTTGGTGAGTCAAAGATGAGGAAAAGAATCCAGCATGTTGTAAGCCGAGTTGCAGTGAAGTCATTTCACATTTCAAAACACTCAGGAAGACGACTAGTCATGTAATAGTGGTTACCAGTGGGGGAGGAGGGCGGGGGGGTGACATGAGAACATATTTTTTTCCAAAGTGCCCTATCGGAACGCATCGAACCCTATTTTGCAACGAAAACATGGACATCATACACTTCACAGGAGGCAGTAGAAACACGTGATTTCTCTAAGAGAGGCTGAAAAAAAAATAACAGAGTTAATAAAAAACATTACACACCTATACAATGACAGACAAAGGTATTATACTGATATATTATGAATATATCAGTGGATGTCACCAATCTATCCATTCATCAATAATTAAAACATTGATTTATAAAACAATAATACTGGTAATAATAATTTGTATTATTATTCAAATTTGACAGGCTTTTTCACAATGCTCTACTCTGTGGTGTGTCAACTTTGTAAGACATTTTTATTTTCATTTTACAGGAATTTAAAAATAGTTTCTGTGCATGCCAAGAGGCCACAAGATGCCAACAAAGTAACATTTTTATTGCTTTGGTGTGAGCACAAAAACAGCAATTAGGTCAGGTTCTCGGCGAAAAATTGTGGATAAGTTGAAACAAAAAAAATCAAGGTAATATGTGGATTTAATGTTTTATTTTCCTCAGAGAGATTAAAATGAGTATAACCAATTCAATTAAAAACAAATCATGGGCATTTTGGAATAACTTACAAATATAACCCAAAAAAAAGTGTTGTCTTTAAAGAATTGCGCTACAGAAGGACAGCAAATAAATGTTCATAATCATAATGTTGGAGCAGCATGGTGGAAACTGGTTCGCACGTCTGCCTCACAGTGCGGAGGTGCAGGGTTCGATTGCGGCTCCAGCCTTCCTATGCGGAGTTTGCATGTTCTCTCTGTGGCTGCGTGGGTTTTCTCCGGGTACTCCAGTTTCCTTGCAAAAACATGCATGGCAGGCTGATTGAACACTCTAAATTGTTCTTAGGTGTGATTGTAAGCGCGAATGGTTATTCATTTATGTGTGCCCTGCAATTGGCTGGCAACCAGTTCAGGGTGTACCCGCCTACTGGCCGAAGACAGCTGCCATAGGCTCCAGCATGCCCATGAAGGAAAAGAGATTAGAAAATGGATGGATGGATGGATGGATGGATGGATGGATGGATGGATGGATGGATGGATGGATATTGATAATGTTTAAGTCTTCTGCACTTACACATAAAGCCAAATGACACAAACGTTGCTTTTCTTGTCTCTCAGGGGAGAGTCTGTTGCTCAGCAATGGGGAGGCGTGGTATCGCAGGAGGCGTCTTCTGACTCCCGCTTTTCATTTCGACATACTGAAGAACTACATTGCAAGATTTAACACTTCAGCAGACACCATGCATGTGAGATTATAGAGTCTATAATTCATCATCATCTCTTGTTGCTTTCGGCTCCCACCGTCAAAGGTCACAAGGACGAGTTACTCTCATGATTTCTTTGGGATAGTTTTTACAGAACAAATGCAACCCTCCCAATTATACGGTCTTGGAATCAAACAATTGGTAGCATGTACCACTAAACCAGTGATTCCCAAGCACAGTCTCAAAGAGAATAAAATAAGAATAAAAGTGAAGAAAGACTGTAAATTCACCACCAGTACATATAATCATAGTACAATTTTTCGAATACCGATTGTTTAATCTTTCATTATGCAGATGAAATTAAAGGCCCTGTAAATGGATTTAAAGTCAGAGATTTGTTTCAAAATACATTGTACATGTGTGAAAGATATTGCTGAAAAATGTGCAAAAGCTGAAAAACTCTGTAGGGTTGTGGATATAGAATGAGAAACTGTTTTTTGTTTTTTTTTTCACCATTCCAGTTTGGATGATTTTTTTTCTTTTTTGGGGGTGCCCAATGACATGCTTTGGGATTCAGCATGAGTCGTCCTTCATCCCACTGTAACTTGAATACCTTCTTTCAAATCAGCGGCCCAGCAGAATTGTGACATGCAGCTATCTAGCTAGCTTAGCCTACACAACGAAAATTCATTTTCCATTTGGATTGTTCGCTGACACAGCTGTTTTCGAGCGACTTGTTGTCATGCATGAGTGCGCACACGAGGAGGGAGGAAGGAAAAATTTGGCGCGGCAACTTTTGAAGACGGGCGGCCCGGTGGTCCAGTGGTTAGCACGTCGACCTCACAGTGCAGAGGTTGTGGGTTTGATCCCAGCTCCGGCCTTCCTGTGTGGAGTTTGCATGTTCTCTGGTTGGGGGGGTTTTCTCCGGGTACTCCGGTTTCCTCCCACGTTCCAAAAACATGCGTGGCAGGTTAATGGAGCACTCTACATTGTCCCTAGGTGTGAATGTGAGCGCGGATGGTTGTTCGTCTCTGTGTGCCCTGCGATTGGCTGGCAACCAGTTCAGGGTGTCCCCCGCCTACTACCCGAAGACGACTGGGATCGGCTCCAGCACCCCCCATGACCCTTGTGAGGATAAAGTGGAATGGAAAATGGACGGATGGAACTTTTGAAGACATTTATTTTCACTTTCCAGTGACTTTATGTGGCATGAAGAAACTGTGTGTGTCTTCCTTTCCATGTGTCACACAGGATAAGTGGCGTCGTCTGGTGGCAGAAGGCAGCACATCGGTAGAGATATTTGACCACGTCACTCTAATGACATTGGACAGTTTACTGAAATGCGCCTTCAGCTATAGCAGCAACTGTCAGGAGTGAGGATGTGCTAGTAATCCATTCTCTTCCTTTGACCTTTTAAGATTGGTTGCTAACACATGCCCGTGTCACTCCAGGTCAAACAGTGAGTACGCGTCTGCCATCGTGGAGCTGAGTGATCAGATAATAGCACGGCGGCAAAATATTCTGCACCACTGGGACTGGATTTACTGGAAGACACAAGAGGGAAAACGTTTTAAGAGGGCTTTAAACATTGTGCACAGGTATCACACATGCACAGTTGGATACATTCAAGCAACAGTCTGCTACAAAGAGTGCCTTGTCATCATTGATCATGTGACAGAATGATTCTAATGTATTAATGCAGTTTTACAAGCAAAGTAGTTCAGAAGCGCCGCACCCTCCTCAACCAGACTGATTTCACCTCGACATCTCAGAGGAAAAAGGATTTTGTGGACATCATACTCCTGTCCAAGGTTTTCACTGCACACATTGTTGAAAATAATTGTAATCCCCTCCAAAAGAATTAGAAAAGTATGGTCAATTTGTTTGTTTGTTTGTTTTTTAACCTAACCCTAACCCTAAGTACCTGGAACTAAAAGTTAAAATGTTGATCTCATACTCATCTTTTGAAGTCAAAACTAAATGTTTTCAGTCTACGACCGGAATAAAGAAAGCGTATTTAAACATTGCATTAAACTTTACAGGACGAAGACGGACGAGGCTTAACCGATGACGAGATCGCAGCTGAGGCTAACACCTTCATGTTTGCGGGTAAGGCTTTCAGATGATGATGCTTGGGGATTGAGAGTCCCCTTTTACCAACCGCAGCCATGTTTCTCCACAGGTCATGACACCACAGCCAGTGCCATTTGCTGGACGCTTTATAATTTAGCACGTCACACACACTACCAAGAAAAATGCAGGAAGGAGGTGTTGGAGCTCATGCAGGGGCGTGAAAGACAGGAAATCGAGTGGTCAGAAAAGACACCAATACTTTCTATCTGAAATGTTCATGTGACTTACTTGCATGTCTTACTCCCCAGGGAAGATCTGTCCAACCTTCCCTTCACCACCATGTGCATCAGAGAGGCGCTGAGGTTACACTCGCCGGTCCAGGCCGTGACAAGGAAGTACACCCAAGACATGCCGCTGCCAGGGAACCGGACCGTACCAAAAGGTGAGAGAGAGACAATTGAATAACTGAATCTGATGAGTCGACTTGTGGATGTCCACTTGTGTAAAAGTATTTTTTCATAACCCACCCTAAGGTGCCATCTGTTTAATCAGCATTTATGGGACACACCACAACCCTGCTGTATGGACAAATCCACATGTAAGAAACAAATTACACACTTTTCTTATTTCTGTTCATACCAATGATGGCCTGTCATGGGTTCTCCACTGCAGTGCTTCCAGTAAGTTTATGCTATTTTGTTTTGATTTTTGTGTTGTTTTTTTTCTCCAATCGGGCATCAGTTTGTATGTAATGCCATGTCAATCTAATCTGCCAAGGCCCTTCAGAATTTCGGAATCAGTGGTGCTGGCTGATGTAATAACTGTAGTGACTGTTCCTTCATCCAATCAGATTTCAAATTCGCCTCACAGGGCCAGCTAGTTGGCACTCAATAAGGTCAGCATGTTTTCTTCCTGTGATTTGTTTGGCAGAGCAGGCCATGTCTGACAAGCAAAACGCATCTGTATAACAATCTGCACATATGAAGATGTGTTTTTGTATAGTATTGATGGTTTCTGTAATTGCCACGCGTTACTTTTGTTATTCAGAGTTCAAGTAAGGAATGCTGAGGTACTCACAAATGAATGTGTTCATGTACTCTCTGTCAGGAGTTTGATCCTGACCGTTTTGAACCAACCAACCAAGAGGGCCGCTCTTCCCACGCTTTTATTCCCTTCTCATCTGGCCCCAGGTATTGCTTCACCCCTACAGCAGCAAAATCAGAGAACGCCTATCTTTTTTGAACAAAACATGCTTGTTTTTGCCTTCACAGAAACTGCATCGGTCAGAAATTTGCACTGGCAGAGCTTCGTGTTGTTGTTTCACTGACATTGCTCAGGTTCCGCTTGACACCAGGGGTGAACCCAGAACTTGGATCTGGTGAGGTTCGCCGTCTACCCCAGCTGGTGCTGAGGGCAGAGGGTGGCCTGTGGCTGCAGCTGGAACCTCTGACCCCACCTAATATGGACGCAGTACAGATTAAATGATGCTGATTTGTTGCATTGTTGACCAAAATTCTTATCCATTTCACTGAAGCTAAATGTGAATGCAAAGAATTTATTTTAAAAAAATGAATGCACAGCTGGAAAAAAAGAGCAAAAGACAACTTCCACATTTTTCAGTGTGCTTGATGTTGTTATTCAAAGTACCGTACATGTATGAGTGAAACATTTTTTTGGTTTCATGTGACTCTCCAAAATTCCAATTGCAATTATTATTATTCATAATAATCATTATATTTAGAGAGTCGCGGATGATGTAGTGGTACACTCGCCTAACTTGTGTGCGGGCAGTTTGGGATCGGTTCCCAATCAGTGACGGCATGGATGTGAGTGTGAATGGTTGTATGGTGCTATATTGCCCTGCGATTGACTGGTGACCAGTTCTGGGTGAAGTCCGTCTTCAGTCCGAAGTCAGCTGCGACAGGCTCCAGAAACTCTCCATGACCCTGTTCAGGATAAGTGGTATTGAAAATGGATGGATAGATTATATTTAGAGCTTCTTCTTTCTTTGTGTTTTTTTGGGGGGAAGAAATGGTCGAAATACCCATTACCGGAGGTACCTCACACACACGCGCGCACACAGTGTTTATCAGGCTGACAGCCCTTACAATACACGATACACCTTGAAAAGTAGTGAATGATTTGATTGGTTAACTAGCAATAACTCGTTTGGCAGAAATACATATTTTTCTTTAAAGAAAAGTAGTGAATGATTTGATTGGTTAACTAGCAAGAACTCGTTTGACAGAAATACATAATTTTCTTTAGTCGCCTGCTTCGACCCGGTACGTTAAAATTATGCGACAGCGATGACGTAACCAAATCCGGGCCCGAGTATTGTTCCAAAAATAACTTCATTTGAATGACGAAAAGAAATACTCCACTCCAAAACGCCACAGTGATTTGTGAGCAGGGAATAAGTTAATGATTCCTTATATAGGACGCAGTCATTTGTGCTTATTTAGCTGGGGTTGTTCTTTAATACTATGACGCCTCGGGTGAAGTTTCCTGAAAATTTGGGCGGAGTGTTGCTGCACAAGTCAGCCTCCGCGTTCCTGTATCCGGAAACAAATGACGGTAAATAGTTCCAGAAGCGCCCATCATTGACAAGGTGAGCATCCAGGACATTACCGGTGACTTATTTTTATGGTTCAAGACTTTTTTTCATCTTATCTTTTTCACTTGTGGCTGTCTTGTTTCCAGCTTTGCGATAGCCGAGCTGACGAGAAAGATGCAGGTGTGCCTTTCGGTGATTCCTGTGATTCTGGCCACTTGTACTGGTATGCTCCAGTTTCTTTTTTTTTTCCAGAAGAAACGGTTGAAGCTAAGTCTTCGCGACGCAATGTTGAGTGTAGTTTGTTTCTGAAGCGATTATTGTATGTCATATAGATGCCGGTTTCATGTTCTCACGGTGTTCACAAGCACTGAGATTTTAGTTAGCTTTACATTTAGCGTACACAAAATAAATAAGTAAATAGATGGGTTAGACCAGGAGTGTCCAAACTTTTTCGTTTGAGGTCCGCATACATAAAGTGAAAGGATGGATGGGCCACTTTCAAATTCTTCAACTTTTTGAAACACGCTAAAGTCGGTCAAGAAAGCAATTATATATCAATTGTATTGTCTGGTTAATTTCATCACATTTCTGTGAAAGGTGTTAAGACAAATAGTTAAGGATTTTGGACACCACTGGCTTAGACGAACCCAAAAAGCGCATCTTAAGTTTTTGTACAAGATAGCAGAACAAAAAAGTTGTTGAAGTTTCACACTTGAAATATCCACGTTCTTAACAGGAGACTCTCGTGAATAATTGTTTCTCAAGTCTGCCACACAGGCTCGGAATTCGAATCTTAGCTCTGACCTTTTCATGCTTGCGTGGGTTTTCTGCTTGTACTCTGGCTTACTCCCACATTACAAAAACATGCTTCTTAGGTTTATTAAAGACTCTAACTTGTCCATAGGTGTGATTGTAAGTGTGAATTGTTGTTTATCTGTCCTTTGCGTGCGATTTGGGACACACTCTAGTTTAACTGGAACCCTACAACCTAGCTCCTCTCTTGTTTGTGGAAGCAGTGCATGACAGTTAGCGACAGATAAATATTTCAATTATAATCAGCCAAATTTACTTCCTACTAATCGGGTTGTGAATATTTAGGTAGCTTGATATGTTCCAAAAGTAATTCCTATGGCAGATCTGTACGTGGTAGTTAAGTTTAATTCGCGTGAGGACTATGTCTGCATTCTTGGAAAAATGTCTTCCCTGTAAGGGGTTCCTGGACCCAAAATATCTGTTTACAGAGAGACTCAAAGAGTTTATTCTTGCGATTTCCTCTCCTTTTCAGCCACAAAAGTTTACAAGAAGGTGGGTGATGACGTTGTCCTCAGGCCTGATGCAGTTCCTGATACCAGCCCCCTCACAAGCATCTTGTGGAAGCATGGTTATGACATCGCCATCCAGTGGGACACGGAGGGTGTAGAGGCGTTTCGTCAATTTAAAGGTATGGAATCAAATCAAGGGGTCGTCAAGGATCATCTCGCTTGCTGAAAGCCTCTTTCTTACCGGGCCTCTCTTTTAGATCGCGCTACGCTGAACAATGTGAACGGGGAGCTGACCATCATGGGATTGACTCAAAATGACAGTGGCACATACACACCTGAGATCAACTTTGTCTCTGCCACCCAAACTCATCTTGCCGTTATTTGTAAGTGTATTGTCCTTGTAATGTTTTCTAAATAGGTGCCCGGGTACTTCGGGGTGGTACAAAGCAACTGACTACCGTTGACTTGAACTGAAAACAAGGATGGAAAAAATAAAACAAATTGTTTCTGGGGCTGTGCCAGCAGATATACCTGAAAAAGATTTAGGTTTTTAAAAATTTACAATTGTAAAACACAGTGGCTAGCTAACATAAGCGCTACATTTCAAAGGAGCAGGTCTGTGCCATTAATCTGAGCAACAGAAAAATAAATTACAGTGCTTCCTTGAGTTACAAGTTTAATTTATCCGAGACTATGCTTGTGACTCCTAAAGATGGGACACTGTGTTAAACAGAAACAAGAACGAAATACAATGATTTTGCAAATCATGTTCAACCTATATTTGATTGAAGACACTACAAAGACAAGATACTTAATGTTCAAACTGATCGACTATTGTTTTTAGCAAATGATCATTAACTTTTTGTGTCTTCAACATGTTCCCAAAAAGCTGTGACAGGGTACACTGTGTTTCAACATTCAGTAAATATTGTTTGCAGTGTATTCAATGAAATATCAGTTGAACATGATTTGCAAATTATTGTATTGTTTTTACTTGTTTAACACAAAATCCCAACTTCAATGGAATTGGGGTCTTAAATCATCTTTCCTTTTGGAAATTAATGGATATGCTATTCATCTATTCCAGCCTCTCCAAAAACCCCAAGATTTAAAAAAAATAGTGTGTAATTAGAAAAACAGAACCCACAAACATTTTACATAATAACATAGTAATGACATAATTAAATGGAAGACAAAGATTTAAGATTTGTGCCGAAGGATTAATTCATTGTGGCTCTTTCTGGTGTGTGTGACATGGCCACAAGAGTGAAGTATAATAGTCATGCAGACAATAAAAAAAAACAAAAAAGAAACATTACTACTGTAAGTGACTCAGTACCCTGCTACTTTAGTCATTTGTTGTTGAGGATCAAGAACATATGACGTCTATGTGCTGCTGCACTGTTTGTGGTCCAATGTCCGTTTAATGCGTTGAACATTGCCAAAGAGATGCTACAACAACCAAGGTGTCATCACTCTTTTTGTTTCATCATTAGTGCCTGTTCCCCAGCCCACTGTCTTAACATCCTGTGATGATGAGAGGACAATTTGCACTTTGACATGCGCTGGCAACACCACGGGAGCCAAACCTGTCACCTACACCTGGAAGTTTGGCGATTCCGTGGAGACCAACTCATCCATGAAGCACATCATTCAAAAGGTCTAATGCTATGCACGAACGGGTGGAGAAGAGTCTCGGCCAGCTCTGGTTTGATCATAAACTGGGAAAGTAAAACGGGAAAAAAAAACAAAACAAAAGAACTACGGCCAGCAGATAGCAGCACTGGATCGATTTAGAATGAGCTCACTGCGTGTCTTCACCACATAGTGTAAGCTCCTAAAACATCGGAAATGCGATGTTTACAAGCTGCTTCTGATTGATCAAAGTGTTTGTCATATTAAATTTATAATCGTAAATAGTGTCAAAAAAGATTGACAGATTATTGACATTAGAAGTTGAAGCGATGACATATGTACGTGTGCGCACACACACACACACACACACACACACACAAAAACACTTGCATGGTATCCGCACACACTAATAAATACTACTACTACGACATACCGTGCAAATAGGTGGTAAAGTTTCAGATTTCAGATGTAAAATTGTTACACTGGTGATTCATTGTCTATACATTATTTTGCAATCAAAAGTGCATTTTTGTTGTTATTTTAGAGAAGAAAATGACTGTTCAGCTGTTTAAGACATCATTTAAGCCAAATAGTATCAAAGTCACTGTCGTGCATGAAATACAACAAAAACTTGTTTTTCAGACGAAATAGGTGATTTGGGTGGAAACCAACCCATGTTTTACTGCTAATGACTTTTAAAATCAAACAAGGTTCTTTTTTTTTTACTTTCTGTGTTTACATACAAAACATTCATAAAACACCGTTCTGTGAGCCTTGAAAGATCAGCCAGAATGCTGAATGCTAAATCGGCAGGCAAAAAAAAAAAGGTTGAAACGATGAAATGCAAATTATACGAAAGATTTACAGGTCCCTTGCTTTTAAAGTTATCATTGAAAGTCTGCAGACACTTTTGGGCAGTATAAACATGTCACTCGGCTCTTTGTGCCTTCGTTCCTCTCTCAGGACACTTCAAGCGCAGGCGAGTTCATGTGCGAACTGCAGAATCCAGTCAGCATAAAATCCAGTTTGTCTACTCGCAGCCCGTTCTTCACTGGTAAATCGACACAACACAGTGTGCAGTTAATTGTGTCGTTTAAAAAAAATAAAGGGGTATGTTTTTGTTTCAACAGAGAGCGAAGCGGGTCTGAAGGTCAACACGGGCCTGACAGTCTTCATCTGTCTCCTGACTGTAGTTGTGGTGCTGGTGCTCTTTCACAAATTTAGAACAGGTAAGACAAGAAAAATGCAGAGCTCAAGCTACCATCTTGATTTTTATTTATTTATTTTTAACTTTGACGTTCTTTGTGACGATTTTAGCCATCTCCTTCTGCACGCTTGTATGTCAGCCATCAACTTTAGTGTAATTTACAGTTCTTAAAGGTTCTATGGCAACAGTTTGATCCAGGTTGATCCATTATTTCCGATAGGGGAAATGTATTCATAATTCAAATGTTGTTTTCTGAGATTCTAATATCTGTTCATCTCACATAGGGATGTGGTTCTTCCAAAAAGGTACGGTAAGCACGGAAGTTAAAACTCAACTTGACTTTATGCTTCTTATATGGTGAGTGCAAACCTTTTATTTTTATCCTTCCCAATTTTTAGCTTTCATGCCATGGGAAGCAGGTCAGTATAAAGCAGAATGCTTTTCAACATTCTGATACACCCTATTTTTCAGACTACAAAAGTCACACTTATTTCATAGTTTGGCTGATCCTTCAACTTGTACTTAGGTGCGATTGGTATGTATTAAAATTAGATGTTGGACTGGCACCTAAAATCCCTCTTCCCCAATCCTGTTGACAGCAGCAAACAAGTTTTAGTTGGTTTTGAAACTTCAACTTCAAAGTTGTTTTTTTTTTTTTTCCCCCCAAAGTTTAAAAGGTGTCACATTGTGGCCAAATTTAGAATCCTGGTCAGTTATTGCATACATCCTGATTGGTTAATTCTGTATGCTATACTAGCGATACGTCACACATTAGCTGACATGACTACTGCTTCTTCTATTTCGTCTGCTAGTATGTTTTGGAGGTTGGCATATACTTTTGGAGCTTTACCGCCACTGCAATTTGCATGCATCATCCGCCAGAACAAGGATTTACTCTTTCACAGTACCAGGATTTTACTTTTTGGCCATAATGCGACGTATGTTCTAGTTAAGGCAAGCCAGTTGAAACTAAAAACAAAAACTTTTTCCGTACTTCCAACCAGAACTCGTTTGCTGTCATCAATTCAATTAGGGAATTTTACTTGTATTCTGGAGCGACGTATGTTTTTTTCCTTCTTCATGATTAATTTTTTGACTGGTGTTACTTATACTCCAGAGTAACTTGCCGTCTGCAAAATACGGTAAACAACAATTAATATCCCCAAAAAGTTGAGGCTCGTGGCCAATTGATCATTGAAATTATGTTGGGGCTGCTTTTAAGGGCCCTTTTCCATAAAAAAATAAAATAAAATGATATGCAATCACCTTTTTTGTCTCCTTTACCACCCCAGACTTCTGGAGGAAGGAAGAGAGGCAATGTAAGTGTCAACCATTGTATTGATTTCAAACTTTTAAAATGCCGTATGACAAAAACACAAATGTTCTGTAGATGGAGACGCAAATGAATCAAACGGCACTACGACTCATCCAGAGAAAGCACAAGCGGGAGGTACAACTCTGAAAATCTCCACTTTAAACAAGTAATGTCACAATGCAACGCTTTACTCTTTTGTCTTTTGCAGAGGAAACACCAATGACGTAGATGCCCCAAAACCCGAGATCACTTTCTTAACAGTTGCACACACTTCAAATTTTACGCTACTGTGTGTGTGTGTGTGCGTGTGTGCGTGTGTGTGTGTGTGTGTGTGTGTGTGTGTCCAAGAAAAAAGGGAAACCAGGCAATCGGACTGAAACGTGAACCCGAGACAATACCAGGAAATCCTCCAGCGTGTGCTATATTGTTGGCCAACATTGTTACACGGGTCAGCAGCAGGGTGACAGGGCGACACAGGCTGTGTCATCTGAGGATGTACTTTGGTTACAGCGCAACTGTGGGGTGGGAATGCACTGACGTGAGGGAGCAGATGAGACGTTTGTCACTCAACAATCACATCACTGAGCAGTTCTGGGAGTATTTTTTGTCCACTTGACTTCTTTTAACACTAATGTTTGTAACTCATTTGATGCTCGTTTTTTTTTTTGTTTGTTTTTTTTGCATGTCCTTTAACTCATGATTATGTTTCGCCCCTTGTCAAACTACTTAGGGTTTTATGATATGCTTTTAAAGTAACACCGCAGCATTTGTTGGAGACTGCCTTGCACACATTCCCTTTTGTTATTCAATCTTATTTTGGTTTGCAAATGAGTCCAAGTAGATGCATCTTATATTGCTGTCTAATAAAACACTAAAACGTTTAAACAAGGTGTGTCAATTTCCACTTGAACCATGTGAAAACAGCCAGTCAATACATCTTGTACAATGTGTCCACTCTAAAGAAACTGCTTCAAATGAAGGAAACGGCATCATAGCTTTCTGATTACAAGCGATATTGCCGCATGTGGTCTTGTAACTGGCGAGTTGGCCATTGGGACACAAACTCATTTGTGTGGTGGAATTTGTTTTATGATTGCCATGTAAAATTCAAGGCTGCAGCTGCAAAAATAGCTTTGACCGTTAAAAGAAGTAAACACGCTGAGGGGTGCTGATCAGAAAAACAAGTCAGAAAAAGCTGACCAAACAACCAACATGGACATGCCAGAACACAAACTGAGGCTGGGGATTCGAATATTATCTACTCGCTTTAATCGTACACAAAAATACTGAAAAAGTATAAACACCTGATTAAGTTTGTTTTACAACATTCAGACAAACTCACTGATAACATAAGATACAAGGTATATTGTGACATTAACTTAAATCTCACACTCTGAGTACTGTATAATCCTACTCAAAAACAGTTATCTCATGTACTCCAGTCATTGCTTCGAAACGACAAAAAAACAAATAAAAATTTAAAAAGCTGCAAAATGTTCCTGTTGAATTTGGAATCACTACATTCTGATAAGTGTCCAGCCCAAGTGCATGTGGGAGTAAAAGCAACAATCCTATCACCAAACATCAGAAAACCTGCAAGGCCGTGAACCGGAAACAAATGCAAATTTAAGTCTCCATAAAACAATTGTAATTTCTTCCAATGCGTTTTCTTCTGTCTTTCCTAATTCATTGCATATTTTTGCTCTAAAAAAAAAGTCTTCATAAAAATGTGCAACTATCACCATCAACGCTGGGATGACACTGAAGGGATCTTCTAAAGCGAGGTTAATGTTTGATTCTTGATACAGACCTAAACTAAATCCAATGGAGTGATTTCAAGGATATAAACATCACAGTTAATAGCAGCAGTGCTGTCATGATCACAATGGAATCGTTAATTCGCCGTCGCTGAATCAGGACAATCAAACTTGGCTCATTCGGGCCATCGCTTGAAGGTCCATCAACATTGAACTTCGTCATTAAGTGCACTGAATTAAAACATTTTTAAAAAAGTAGGCTCCTGTATCAGCCAGCAGTCGAGGCACTTGAGCATGATTATGGCTCATTAATAGGTGGTGACTGCTATGTCTCGGCATTTTTGCCATTGGACAAAGGTTCTGCCTCAGGGACCATGTTGTTGAGTTCAGTAGACTTGGGCTGTTGGTCGATCCCTTGCCTCCTAGGCTGCTTTCTAAAGTGACAGAAGATGACGACCACCGCGCTTGCTAAGTAGCCGACGGTCAGCAGGGTGAAGTAAATAAAGTACACAAGAAACTGTAAAAGAAAGAAAAAAAGCAGAAAGGCAACAATTACACGGAGCCTAAATTAGACAAGGTTGCAAGAATAGTTGCACAAATAGGGCAACATGTCAAGTCACAGCGAGGAGGTTCTGGATTTAAATCTCGACTCTGACTTGCAGTACCAGTCAAAAGTTTGGAAAGATCCTATAATTCAGTGTTTGTTTGTTTTTATTATTTTAAAATGTCCTGAATTGCAGATTGATACTTAAATCAAAAACATTATAAAGACATTAATGGGAGTTATTTGGTTGGTTAAAACAGAATGTTTTATAATTTACATTCCTACAGGCACCTTCTGGCCGATAACAGCTTTGCACGCACATCTTGCTATTTTCTCATTCCGCTTTACGATGTGGATGATCTTTAATAACCTGGAATGACTCTCAGTTCACCGCTGTGCATTATCAAGAGTTAAAGTGAATTTCCTGACCTTTTAATGTGTGTTTGTCTAGTTGAATTTGAAGGTGTTTCCAAACTTTTGATCGCTACTCTATGTATGAGACGAGTCCCCGCCCTCCCAAAAAGAAGCAAAAAAAGATTTAAACACGACGTCAGTCCTGAGAAAACATCCATCACATGTGAGCAAATAGCATGACATCTATGAACCATGTTGTCCAAGTTCTTGTTGCATGTCCACATACCTGACTGTGCACATCCAAAGCCAGCCCCCTCTTGTCGGAAAAAATCAGGTTGATGACGCTCTTCAGGATGGTCCCCAGGAAAGTGTTGATGCCGAAAACCAAGGCACAAAGCTCCTTGGTGAGCGACGACGCAATCTGGAAACTGCACATCAAATCCCCCCCTCATCAGACCCACCATGGTTGGCCTTGGGCCACTTGATATGCAAATATGACTGCAGCGCACTCACGTGGCAATTGGCACCAGGAACTGGTAGAAGCTCCTGAAGAGTACGTAGGCCACGTAACAGACCCAGATGTTGTCAGTGGTGCCCATGAGCAGTAGCAGGCCAGCTTGCACTGCTGTGATCACGCCAATGACAAGCTCTGACCAGATATTCCAGCGGATTTTAACAAAGCCTGCGATGAAGGCGGTCAAGGCACCTGAAAAGAGGCAGAAGATTTCAGTCAGTGTAGATTTTTAAAAAATGGTTTGAGAGAGGCCACAATGTGAAAAGACAGTACACATATTGTCCCCATTTATTTGGATTTGTAACATGGTTTCCACTCATGGTTTGCCATTTACAAATGTGTCTCTTCACCTTATTTTTTTGGTGTTGTTTTTGTTTTTTTAGTTCTTTCTGCAATGCGCTAAGACGCCACAATATGCCAAAGCCCTGGCTCAAAATAAAACAGTATTTTGTGTCAAGTAAGTATGTGAATGTGAAGTTATGGAGAATCTTTACTACACAGAGCAAGCGCACTTCTGGTGCATGGTTTATTTATTTTATTATTATTATTATTAGTTTTTTTTTTTTTAATGAAATCATCAGGAAGCCAAGTTTTTTTTTAAGGTAGTGCCATAAGAGAGTGTTCACTTTGATAAGACATTTTTATTTTGTTTTAATTATAGCAGTGGTTCTTAACCTTGTTAGAGGTACCGAACCCAACCAGTTCATATGCACATTCACCGAACCCTTCGTTAGTGAAAAATAAGTTTTGTTTTTTTTTTTGTTTTACAAATTCAAGACATAAAAAATGCATTTATTAAAAACAGAAAAAAGTAAACACAATTAATATAAGTAGAAAGTATACGTTTTTTAATTATGCACAAAATGAACCAGCCGGTGATGGCCAAGCGGACATGTCATAACTAATTGACATGTTGAGTCGTGTCTTAGCCTCCATGACAGAGGCTCTGTCGAACCCCTGAGACTGATTCACCGAACCCCTAGGGTTCGATCGAACCCAGGTTATGAACCACTGAATTATAGTCTTCAGACTAAAATTGATTCAAGATTTAGTCATCTGGTTATTTTTGAAATTTAGTCCAATTTGAGTCACTTAAAAACAGAGCAATTTTAATCAACTAAATTAATAATTAATATAGTCGATGTTTTCCTTGAACATACATAAAAACTTTAATGCAGTAAACTATACCAAAACCGTGAAAACTATCACGTAACGACGTGATACTGATGTAAAAATGTGAAAAATGATCATGTCAAAATGTGAAAATCATCTATGCAAAAACGTGATAGCCTACTTGCCGCGCAAAAACTTGTCATGTTGAAACAGAATGGATAAGCTAGCTCATTTAAACAATTTCATTAAGTTCTTTGTCATGCTTGGGTTGAGAGATTTTAGGTTGAATGCCATTGCATTCGGATGTAATACAGAAGCACTGGCCTCTGCGCCCTGCTGCAGGATGGGACCATGGTCGCAACAGAAGTTGGGGACTCTGCCAGGAAGCCGACTTGTTCACATTTTGTACTTTTCACGCAATACGTTTCACGTTTTTACATAATTGGCACATTTTACAGGAAATGAATGACAAATGTATTTTTGTTTTTGTTTCGGTCTGAAAAGAAATGAATGACGGAGATTTTTAGTCATGAATATTAGCGTTGCTCTAAGATGGGTTTGATATGATATTCATCTGTTTTGGTATCATATTGTAGCCGTTTAGAATATTTTGAGGGAGTGTCAATTACCCATTTTTTTTTTGTGTGTAAATACCTTTCATTTACAAAGTGCATGCTCATTTTTTTTGGCACTTTGGATTTTTGTACTATGGCGATGAACATAAAATTCAATTCCTGACACCGAGGGGACGACACTGGTGGTTGTATTCATTAACAGCAAACTTGCAGGGTAACACTCCAAATTGCTTACTGAGTAAAGTAGATGCAGCCTCCACGGCACCATTGTAGACATTCTTGTTCTCCGTGGCCGGGTAGACTTTGCTCCACAGGATGTGGACGTAGAATAACACCAGGTAGTATCCTGTGGAGTTGAAGATCCACCATAGGGACCACAGTCGCGTGTTGGGTTTTTTCATCACAGTTCTCAACTCCATCAGCATCTGCACAAAGAGGGAATCCTTCCAGCGGGACGCCGAGCACGGGGAGACGGCTGTGGTCAATTCGTCCTCCGTCGAGTTCATCTTGTACAATTCCGCTTTGGTGGCTAACTGAGTGGCCGTTTCGCTGGGCGCCTGTTTCCGCGCCTGGTTGAAAAACAAGGAGCGCTTGGGCCAGGGCAGGCACAGCGACAGCAGCAAACCAAAGCTGACGAAGCCCAAAGATATTGCACTGAGGGTCTTGTAGCGGATTTGTCCCAGTGAAATGAAAAGCTGGCCCAGCACGGAGCTGGTAAACACTCCCAAGAGGATGGAGGTGCGGGAGTAGCTGGCCACGCGTTGATAGAGGTTCAGGCTGACCAGGGAAAAGATGTAGGAGGAATAGGCCACGCGGCATGCCATTGTGACACCGTAGAAGAATTCCATAAACTGCATCTGAAGGAGAGAGGTGCCGAGGAGCAGAATGAGCCAGATGACCACCTGGCTGATGCCCTGGATGACCAGAACTGGCTTGTAGCGCAGAAGATCAGTTAGCAGGAAGGCAGGTACCAGCACTGCCATGTAGGAGTACGTCAGCACAGGCGTAATCTCGTTGGTCACCTAAAAAAAATACAAAAAATGAAAGACGGCTTGAATCAGATCCAGAAACGGTTTTCTCCTGTGGAGGATTTTAAGAGCCATTTAGTTGTGTTTTGTAGGTCCCAACCGACATGGATTTTTTTTTAGACTGATGCAGATTCCCATATTAGGCAAAATGCATTTCCAATAACCAGTTAATCATTAGATTAATTTAAAAACCTATCAACTTCCTTTTCAGTCCCATAATCCTTACAGCAATAAAAGATATGAGCATTTAACTGTTTTACAATCCATCATCCTTTATTATTTGTTTGGCTTGACAACAGATGAAAAATGTGATCGAGAGGCTGTTCAATGTCATTATCTTTGTCTTGTGTCGTATAGTGGTAATTAGATAGGTCGAGAAGAAGATAAGATGTATTCTTATGCCCACATACTTTGGATAATACAGCAAACTATTTGCACAAATGTAAGTCCAATACATTTACTCTATACTGACTCGCTTAAGGTCGACAGTTTCCATTTCAATCACAAACATTTAGCATTGACCCACTGTGAGAAGTGCGAGCCTTAACTGCGGTAAGATAGATCAGTTCAACCCATCATGGGACAATTGTTGATTTCACCATGTCAGCAGGCTTTGCAACCGAAACCGCAAAGGTTTCTTGGGTGTTCTCTTACAGACATCTGCACAAATAACTTTTTTACATCCTTGATTACGACTTCAAACGAATTGCAAACGCAAATTCAACAAAGTTCAATCAACTCAGAGGAAACAACCGACCTGCTGCCTGGTAAAATTCTTTTCAGTGCTGAGTAGATATGGTGTAATGAAGGGCTCTCCAGGCTTGATGGATGACATAAACCCATAGAAACACAAGAAGATCACAGCCCATATCCACTTCCTGGGCTCCTCTGGGAGAGCTTGAGAGGCAGTCGGCTCCTCTGAAGTGCACGCTGCTCTCTCTAAATCTCCATCAATGTTTCCTTCAATGGCTTCAGCTGCAGGCACCTTCAGGTCCATCTCATTCTCTTGCTCTGCTGTGCTATCTGAAACCATTATGTCAGCTGATCGGGGGGAACTCACAAGTAAAATTGCAGTGTGAGATCACCAAGTGTTTTGGTGCCAAGTTCATTCAGTCCCTGAATGAGTCAAGTTGAAATGTGTGGTTCCTTGTCAACGCTTCGAGCTTCCTTCCGTCCCCAACAAACAGTTTATGTAATGTGCTGGGAAAGTGGTTAAAATGCTACACGCTGGCAGCCTCACAGAGAAGAATGTTGACCTTTGCTCCATTATGCACTGTGTCAATGCACACCAGCAACTGCGCAGTCATTGGGTAATTTTCATTTTCCACCTGGAAACACACAGTAATAACATTAGAACCATTCAGACAGTGACAATGAGGAATTAAAACATTTGACCCTCCAATCATGTCTGATTCACGGATACACCAAAAAAGTGGTACAATATGAACTGCTGCATGCTTTGTTTATTTACCGGTATTTATTTTTTAGACATTTCGACGCCATTTTAGCCCTTTGTGTCACTACATTTAATAATGTAATGTGAATTCAAAACACATTCAAACATAAAATAACAAGCCCGGGTGACGGTTTTTTTTTGTTGTTTGTTTTTTTCAAATAACAATGGTTGGGTCAATTTGACATGAGGGTTAAAACGATGTAAGGTATTTTTGTTTAACAGCTGTGGTAAATAATGCAATGTGCATAAGAGGGAAACAAGATTTGTCATATTTGTCACACTACGTGACTTAAATAAACACCCGGGGCAAACAAGTTACACAAGCGTTCGCACGTTTCCTTAAACGGCAACTTATAACTCTGCCAATTTGGTCTTTTTCACAATTAAGTCCTGTGTGATAGAACCTTTACCACCGACTAGAAAAGAAACAGAAAATGAAACACAAAGCAGCTAGCTGGCTGACTAACAACGATGTATGAAAAATGCTAAATTTATATCGCCTGTTCATACAATTGCAAGACACGTTATTCACAGTAGGAAACTGATTTGCAATTTCGCTTGCCAGAGAGTTTAGCATTCTGCATGTGAATCACAAATTAGAAGTGCGTTTAACTTAAAAGACGTTTACATACCTCGTGTGTGTTACAGCAGAATCAGCGGCGCCCGTTGGTCGAACGTCCGACTTTTTCCATCGTATTGACTTTTGGGAAATGAAGTATCACAGTGTAAAATGGCTTGTAGAAAACTACAAGCGCTATAGCTTTCGCTAGGTGGCAGCAGTGCAGCGAGACATACACGCAGAGACGCACACACGCACACAGACGCACACACAGACGCACATAGGCGCATACCCAAACACATGCTAATATTGTTGTTAAAATGTTAATAAGAAATATAATAAGAAATAAGCCAAAAGACAGGGTTCAAAGTTCTGCTCTCTAAAGGGACGGTGTGTAAAATGTTGTTGATTTTTTTTCAATAATCATTGTTTAAAAAAAAACACTTTCAACAATTTGGACAATAAACGTTATACATTTTTATATAATGATAGGTGAGGTCATCGCTAATTGTATTCCATTGGGCGCGCCTCCTCTGCCGGAGGCTGCCAAGTTTTGCCGCCATCTTTCTGCTACTGCTACCCAAAGAAGACAAACTTAATGAACGTAGTTTCTCAACATGAAGAGTACAGCATGTGTAACAGAAGCCAGGTTCCTTGAAGTAGTACTGTACCACAATCTTTTTGGAATGACTTTGTGTTGCATGCACCTCTGCTAAAGATGATGGTGGTAGGTTTGCGATGTGAGAATCTGTGTGACACCGTAGTGCGCATGCTTCAAATACACGAGCTTCGAGTTTAGGTGTTTCAGTAGTTTCATATCGTTTCGTTAGTTCAACACGAGATGACACTAAATTCTGTACGCTGTACCTTTAACAAAGTGTTTAGCTTGCAAGTTACTCAATTTTACACGCCAGGCTTTCTAACTTTTGGTATGAATAACAACATGTAATTTATAACAGGATGTTTTAATCATCTACTCAAGCGTTTTTCTAATAAAAGAGGGGGTTTTCTGTGTGGAATATTCTTACATATATTGTGGTATATTGTCAAAACAGGTATTGTACATGAATGACTTTGTTGTTGTTTTTACTTTTATACATAAGTACATCTCAAAGTATTTACTTTTTCATCTTTTGCTTACCGCTTCACATTAATTCAAAATGTGTCATCCATTTAATTCTGAGATTCTCAAATGGCGGTACAAGTATCCCAAGTACGCAATTTAGTTGTTCACGAAGTTCAATAAATTTGCTTTTAATATTTGAAAACTGTTTATTTGTAAACGTTTACTTTTGAACAGTGACAATTAATTAAGTGACAAATATTGATATGAAATTCATCAACAATGATTCTGATAAATTGATTAATCATTTAGAGACCTTGTTTAACCTATAATTATCCAAATCCTAGGAAATTCAGGCTTTCAACATTACATTGTCTCTGATTTCTGTAGTCCCCCATGAAAGCAGACTGCTGAGCTTTGTGTTTAATCTAAATCCTGTGTAAGACATTTGCAAACATCTGCTTTTATTTTGACAAACAGTGTTTTTTTTTTGCCAGTTTTCTGACATTTTAGGGACAAAACCAATAACCGAATCACAATGTGTCCAGTTTTTAATGAAATGATAGCAGTTAAAAATGTTTAAAACAATACATAGATTAATTAATAATCACATATATAGTTAGTTACAGCCCTAGTGTATTTTTTATGAACCATTTTAAGTACAGATTTTCTTATTGTATTTTCCTGTACTGTATTTAATTCTAAGGAGGTAATTGGAGACATAAAAGGGTGGAATTTGTTGGGGAAAAAATTCACTGGTCAAATGTGCCTCTTTTTTGTCATTCTAATTTTATTACAGGCAACACTGCGGACTACCATGGGGTTCAGAGTGCAAAATACGCGGAAGTGATAGGCGGAAGAAGCCTCGGCGGAAGCGGTCTGCTCTGTCAAGGGAGGAAACATTTAGCACGATTTGACTCAACTAGCGTAACTGCGATTCTCTGCCCCCTTCGTCGACGCCACAACCCACTGCGATGATCCTGTTAGAAATCAATAACCGCATTATAGAAGAGACCCTGTCGTTGAAGTTCGACAGCGCATCAAACGGGTGAGAATCATCGTTACACCTGGCTAGCCTTGCTAACGCGGGCTAGCTTCCCTTGAGCGGTTCCGTAATTGCACCCGCCGTAATTAATGGTGCATGGGAGGGGAGTTTGGTGGAGCTGGTGCACGCAAACAGACCCGGAAGAGCCAGGAAAGTGGGGTTCTAGTGGGAGAAATGTCTAAATAAGAAACTGAATTAACTGTGGCGATCGGCTCCGACTGCTTTGCTTCTAGCTGGGGTGTGTCTCAACGATCGATGTGTCAAACCCGCTTACATCAAACCTCGCCAGAAGCATCTTAAAACAGGAAGCAAAAACTCGGATTTTATATCCGTTTGACACCGTTGGCTTCATAAATGCATTTTACGAAATAGAAAACAGAATACATCATTTGTGGTGGGCGCAATTTGATGCAGCGAGCTAACTGGTGTCTTTGACGAACGTTTTTTTTTTTTTTTTTTGAGGGGAGGGCTGTTTAATGTTTGATGCTTTATGTTGATACCGAAGCAAACACCAAATACGATTTATTAACTGTTCTTGCATTTGTCTCCAATAACAATAAACAAACCGTCCGTGCCTGCCCAGAGCACGATCAAACGTATGAACTAGATGGCATTTCTTTACAGCTTCCGCATTCCTGAAGTCAAGCTGAGTCAAGCCCACTACAAAGCCAGATGCAATCTGTTGGAACCTTAACTGAGCCTAGGCACATAATTTATTTGGGAAAGTCTCATCACCCCTCCCAAAAAACTACATATGTACTGAGATAACGATGATTTCCTCGCTCTTCTCTACTTTGTGAAGTCACATTAGTGCAGAAACAAACTGGTGTGAGTTATGTTTTAATGTTGTAGTATGTATATTATGTTGTAGTATGAATTAATCATACCAATTGTGGACCGTAACTCTTGTCGCTGTAGATTAATGTTTATTTTAGCAAAAGTGTTACATTAATGTTCACTTGAATTTTTCCGAGAGGGGTGGGACATGGTGATTTCCGCTGAATATTGTCGAACAAAATGATCAAACATGTACACACCTGCACCGATTTATAGAAATAGTCAGTCATACAGAAAAGTAAGAATCAATATATATTATTAATGAACATCAACATATTGAGGAAATACCGAACAATTAAGGTAGGGCTCATTTTCAAAAAGTTTGGTGAGCCCTGCTCTAACTTAATATCTTCCTTGCAGAACCAAGCCCGAGGCTGTTGATGTGACGTTTGCAGGTAAGATGGTGTTATTTAAAAATGCTCAATTTATTATACCCCAAAATGGTGAAATAAGCGGTGTTATCCATTAGTATTGTACACATTGTGTGATGTGATACCTGTCTGAATCTGTTCATGGATGTTATCTTCATAGGCAGCTATTTCTGTGTATTTTCAGAATGCAGCTATTGCAAAGACTGCTAGTTTTGCGTAAGAATAGCATTTTTTGTTTTCCAATTTGGCTGTATTTTGAAGTATTGTAGAAATCTATTGCATCACATGGATATCTCTTTCTTATATTTTGGTTACCTCATTCAGCTACCTGACAGCATCAAAATATTACATGCACCTCTCAGTTTGACCATTGCAATGATAATTACATCTGTGGCCTCTCAAAACTAAAATGAATGTTAGTTAATGTAGAATCTTACTTGCTGTCTTTTAGAAAAAGGGTACTCTGGCTTCTTCCCACATTGTAAACTTGCCTTTTAGAATAAAAATTTTAAAGGAGACTCTAAATTGTTCATAGTTGTGACTGTGAGCACAAATGGTTGTTAATATATATGAACACTGTGATTGGCTGGCGACCAGTCCAAACTGTACCCCGCCTCTCGCTCCAAATCAGCTGGAGTAGGCTCCAGCTCACCTGCAATCCGAATAAGGGCAGGAACTACAGAAAATGAATGGATGGCATAGGAGATCATCATCTGGTGGCTATTCTGAGCCAAATGTATCGCTTAACGTTGGCCTTTTCTTCGGTAGACTTCGATGGTGTGTTGTACCACATTTCCAACCCAAATGGCGATAAGACCAAAGTGATGGTCAGCATCTCCCTGAAGTTCTACAAGGAACTACAGGAGCATGGGGCTGATGAGGTACTACACACGCACACGCACCTTCACACAGATACGCTGTTTCAATGGGGTTTGATAGGCTTTGAGGTGCTAAATGATCAAAAACAATCGAATGAGGTCTGCTGCTCATGTGCTCTGAACCGCCAAGAGCACTCTGCTGCCATGTAAGGAAAAAACACAGCCACAGAGGCCCCGAGTAGAAACAGGAAGTGTGTTTGAGCCTTGCTCACCACAGGCGAGGAAATGCTGACTGTGACTCGCGGCAGCTGCATGAATGCTTTGGCTGCAGCCGAGGCACTTTTTTTCTTTTACTCGAGAAAAGGATGATGTGGAACTTCTTCAAATACTGACACATTCAATTCAGGTGTATGTGGTACACGCTCGCCATATCCTCATTATGTTTTGCATATTATGATGCGGTCTCCCATGCTTCATTTCAAAATTACATGTATCTTATGACAATCAAGACCCTATCAATTCGTAATTTCAAACAATACCGCCTCCTACCTTGTTCTTTTTGGTTGTATAAGCCAGTGTTTTTCAAACCCAGTGTGCAGCAAGACATTGTCAGGTGTGCCGCGGGGAAATATCCAATTTGTATGCCTGTACGGTCTATCACCCGGCAAAGTAATCGTGTAGTAACCTTCCATACCGCTAGGGAGCAGCAATAGCTAGCCAATTGCCTTGTTTTGAGACGAGAGACAAGCGAATTTGTGACCCATGAATGCAGGACGACGGTGAAACAATATGAAAGATTATAAAATACTTTTTTCTTTGTTTATTTGATTCCAATTCAAGCTGTTACAACGTCGTTTTCAATGTTAAAAAACGTTTATAGTAACAATATAACACGTTACTTGTTAAAACAAGCTTTTTTTCACATTTTCAGCTAGTGGTGTGCCACCGAGATTTTTTCAATGAAAGAAGTGTGCCTTGGCTCAAAAAAGTTTGAAAAACACTGATATAACCAGTGTTGTGCAGCAACAATTTTTTTCCAACTGGCATCTTTGGAAAAATCAAATAACTGAGTAAAGCAAAACCCAAGAGTCCCAAAGGACAGGCTCATCACTAAAATGAATGACATCTCCTGGTCCAGATCCACCCATGCAAGCAAGGAAAAATGCAGCGAAACCTGATTTAGGGCTTGGGGGCTTAAGAAAGGATCACAGATGCAGGGAATCCGCTTTCAGCAGGCATTGGTTGCTGAGTGTCTTGTGCCGGTCGCTCAATACAGAATCCTTACAGCAGCAGCCTCACCACCTTTAGAGGGTTCCAATACTTAGCCACTGATTTATATTAAAAATATATATATACAAATTGTATTGTTCAAGAATTTAAAATACTAATGCATGCTTTTGTTCTTAGCTGCTGAAGAGAGTGTACGGAAGCTTCCTTGTTTCACCAGAGGCTGGTATGTTCACATTATGCTAATGTTAGCATCATGCTATTGAAAGCGCTTTACCTGCCTCTGTCTAATTTGTGTTTCCTGATTTTGCTTTCAGGCTATAATGTGTCACTTCTTTATGACCTGGATGCCCTACCAGGCAACAAAGATGAGGTTGTGCACCAAGCAGGGATGCTGAAGAGAAACTGCTTTGCCTCTGTGTTTGAAAAATACTTCAAGTTCCAGGAAGAGGGCAAAGAGGGTGAGAAGAGGGCTGTGGTCCACTACAGAGATGACGAGTCCATGTACGTGCAAGAAAGTTTGGAAGGGTTCTCTCTTTTCTGCGTCTATTCAAACAGTTCCAGAGATATTTAAAAAAAGTGTCAACTTTGATCCCCTCAGGTATGTGGAGGCAAAGAAAGACCGGGTGACGGTGGTGTTCAGCACAGTCTTCAAAGATGACGATGATGTCATCATTGGCAAAGTCTTCATGCAGGTTTGTGTGGCCACATGTAATCAGTCAAACTGTCTTGAATTTGTTCTCAAATGTGAGCTTAATTGTCATAAATTTACAATCAAGTATGTGTTGCATAAAAACAGCAGAGCTAAGTTATACATCGGAGCTGCAAATCTCTTGTTCATGGTCCTCTCAGCTTGTGGCATGAGATACAATATTCCCACAAAGCTCACATTATGACCAAAGTATGCAAATAACATTTTACTTTGAAGTAATCCTAATCGTTAGATGACTGGCAAGCATTGTCACTCAAATATGACTTGCATGCTTCAGTCACACTTATTTCAGTGGGAAGTGGGCGCTTGCTTGATTTTGAAAGTAAATGGGATCAGTTCTCCGGAATTCCCCAGAAGTAGATAAGTAAATAAACGTGGGAGGTATGGTCCAATACGAAACTACAGTGCGTTACAGGTTACATGCAGCTAATGGAGTTTTACAAAACAAAAAACATATACATACCGTATTTTCACGGTAATACGGCACACCATATTAAGGTTCTATTTCTGTACTTAACACATACACATTGCTCGTTTTGATCATTTCAGAGTCCAAAGTGGGGATAAGTATAGATGTCCACATGAATTTTGGGTCCCGTTTGTTCGCAGTTGACTGACGTTACGCATCGTTTGACTGTCCCGTATTTCTTCCTAATAGAGATATCGCTCAATAACCAGGGCCACGTCATCTTGAATGGCGGCAGTCCTGAGCCATTTCTTCCACACGCTTGTATTCAGGTTGAATTGTTTGGGCTCAAAGAAATTAATCATAATTCGTTGAATTCTTCCTTGAATTCCTTTCCGTTTTTTCAGCTTGGTTTTTGGGGTGACTATTGAGAAAACTAGTCATTATTTTGTATTTTATGTATGTGTGTATGTATTGAATGAGTTTCTGTTTTGTTTTGAAAAACGTATGAACTAATGATACACATTGAGATCAGCTTGGTAATATAAATGGATAAACAAAAATACCAGCCAGTATAAATGGTAAGTTTGTGCAAATAGTGACTTTCGTGCAAAATAATTTGCAAATCTTCTTGTCTTTTAAAGCATTTAAAATTGTTGTCTTCCTTTTTTACTTTGCAACGTGTATTTTCTTAAATGTTGTCACATTCAAATTTCCATGTAGGAGTTCAAAGAGGGTCGCAGAGCAAGCCACACAGCCCCGCAGGTGCTGTTCAGCCACAGGGAGCCGCCTCTGGAACTCAAAGACACAGACGCAGCTATTGGAGACAACATCGGATACATCACCTTTGGTCAGTCAGCTGAGACGTATCTCTTCATGTCGTTTCTGACAGATACTGACGTACCTGCTGCGTTTGTTTTCTTTGTAGTCCTTTTCCCACGTCACACCAATGCCAATGCCAGAGACAACACCATCAACCTCATCCACACCTTCAGGGACTACCTGCATTATCACATAAAGTGCTCCAAGGTGAGTTTGAATGAAGCACAGTTGGTGATCTCGTGGTTCCCCCCCCCCCCTTTTTTTTTCTTTTTGTCGCTGAGGTCTACTGTTTATTGGGAAGTTTGCATTCACTGTATTAGCTCTTGCACCTCAAATTTTCGACCTCTTTTGGTCACCCAGCTCCTTTCTCTTCACGGCCATGTTGTTTAGCTGAACCTGTGCACGTCAGCTAGCGACTATAGATAAATATTTCATGACATTATGCTGAATTTTAGTTTCTTTCTTTTGAAGAGATTAATATTTAGTTTGAAACTGTACAAAAATAATAATTGCTTTTCATATTTCGGGCTGCATATGCTAGTTATGTTTAATTGACGTTGAGATTCCAAGAGGTTCCAAATAAATTAGAGAACCACTTTTATACTTAGTTACGGACAAAAACTGAGATGTTGCGCCATGAGGTCGAGTCTCGGGTTGTTTCACAATAGGATCTTAACGGAACACACGTCTCCTTTTAATTACAAGCTTTTAAAGAGTCGTTGCAATGGAACGCTCCATCTTCCGCTCTCCTCAGTAAAAAGTCCAGTCACACATTCATCATACAGGTTTTAGGGCAGCTGATGGGTGTTTGAGTACACATGACTGCAACTTCCCTAATGGACTTTGTGCGACTGTAAATGCTACTTAGACATTTTTGAGCAACTTTAATTTCAGTTGCCTGCATTTGGCTTTTGTGAGCTTGATAATGAAGTCGGATGTTTTTTTTTTTCCGCTCAGACAGACAGGAGTCAGTGTGGGCGCGTTTATGGAAGGGTGTGTGTGTGTGTGTGTGTGTGTGTGTGTGTGTGTGTGTGTGTGTGTGTGTGTGTGTTGGGAAACAGGAAGGTACTAAATGCACAATACAGAGTTTTGTTTGCATCCTTATCTGTGTTTCATAGAGCACTGTTTCGCAAACGTTAATGGGGTAAGGCACATACCTTGGTTGAGACGAAATCTCACAGCACACCACCACACCAGAAAATTGTCACAAAAAAGTATATCCAGCCTGCTGAAGTGACGATCTGGTCTCAATTTAGTCTGTGAAATCATTTAATTGTTCGGCCTGTCACGATACACCACTGGAATAGATAGATAATGATACTGTATTTTATTTACTGTGAATAAACTGTAATTATCCGAATCACTGGCGTAGTTTGAAGAAAATGCAAGTTTGTTCCCATTTGTCTTGTGCAAATAAACAGCACAAAAGAGAAACGAATATTTAAATGTGTACTTCTGTCTCTCTCCAGGCTTATATTCACACTCGCATGAGGGCCAAGACGTCAGACTTCCTCAAGGTTCTCAACCGTGCCCGACCAGATGCTGAGAAGAAAGAGATGAAGACCATTTCGTACGTAGCCTCAACTCTGCCTCTCCTCGTAAATGCGGCCTGTGGTTAAAGCTACACGGAGGGCAAAATGTCTCGGATATTAACTAGATCACTACAGTACAGTATGAATTCATAGTAGGGCTTGCCGATTATGGAAAAAGTAGTAAGAATTAATGTTGGCATTGAAATCACTGTTAATAAACCGATTATTCGTTGATTTTTAAAGCTTAGTATTTATTCAACTACCATTACGCCTGTTCATCCGACGCACGTTGTACACTTTTTTCTTGAATATTCTCTTATTTCTGTCGAGTACCTTATTTTCCGCACTAAAAGGCGCACTGGATTATGAGGCGCACCTTTAATGACTGGCCTATTTTGTAATTTTTTTCATATATTGGACGCACCGCATTATAAGATGCAATCCACAATGCATCCACTAGATGGAGCAACGCTCAAGGAAATGCCAACAGAACATTACACTACACCCTGATTTATATAGCGCTGATCAGATGTCAGTAACACGTATTTAATAAAGCAGCGACACAGTTCACTTAACCAACAGCAAGTTATAACATTGACTCGTTGACGTTGAACACTCTTGCCGCTGCTCTATTTCCGTGTTCAACTGCGAAACCGATCACCTTAAGTTTGAACTCTGCGTTGTAAGCATGTCTCTAGCAAGGAGCCATTTTGGGGTTGACATATTACCGTAATGACCATACACAAGGCGCATCGGATTTTAAGGCGCGCTGTGAGCTTTTAAGAAAATGGAAAGCTTTTAGGTGCGCCTTTTAGTGCGGAAAATATTGTACAAAATGACCCTGTAAAATATCACGTGAAATTCAAGCCTCTTGCATTTTTACCTTTGCTGCTTTGCGTCCTTTGCACGCATTCACACTGTGAATAAGCATCTGCTTAAACTGTTTATGAAATTTATTTGATTTTGTTGTACTACAGTATTTCTATTTTCACCAGTATTGAGATTTACTGGTCCACCCTTGGACCTTGGGGATCATATTTCATGACATAATCATGTGTGAATGTGTGTTGCTGTGTTGGCTTGAAGTAACTTGAAAGAACAACAAGAAATTAATCCAGTGACTGCACTTGTGCGTTTTGGTGACCAGAGACTCATCACGCTTTGCATTTTAGCCACATACACTGAAGTATATATGCATTAGAATATATCCAGGAATACCGTGTATAGCAAACCGTATCGATACCGCTCGGCGGGGGCCAGTTGTATCTCACCTAGTATTCGGAAGCAATGGATTTGTTGCTCAAGATCATGGGATACACGACGTGGCGTTTTTTTATTCACCGTTACATCTGTGACGTCATGCAACAACACGGTTTCTAAAAGCTTCACTTAAACAGACGGTGTTACTCTTATCACTAGCTAAATATTGTTGCAATGTTATACTGCGAGTTAGTGCTGAAATTCCCAACCCCTACTTCAAACTTGTTCCCATTTGCTAAGAAGGAATGTTTATCGAGGAAACCCTCCATAGTTGTAAATGTGTCAAATAGGGAGCATATCCTTTTTATGCAGTTAATGTGTAACTGGACCTCTTAAATCCTTGGATTTTTTGGGGTTTTCTTTTGCCTTGAAAAAATTATAAATTTCTCAAGTAATCATCAGAAGCTACAATAGATACATGCTTTGATGGTAGCAAAATACCGTACATACCGTAATTAATTCTTGCGCTTGCCTTTTCAGTGGGAAGACCTTCCTTCGCTGATGCCCAGCTCCAGGACAGCTGAGCCGAAGCCACCGTCCGTGGCCACACGCAAACGCGCCACGCTGCGACTCAACGGCACATTGGACAGGCCTCCAGGATGCCTCTAAACGCCCCACACAGTCCACTCTCTAAATTGTCAAGTTTTTCTTTCTTTCTCTCTATTTTTCTTTATAACAAATAGTAAAGTTGACGGGAACAGCCAAGGCTCAAGATCATGAAAACAGGGCATTCCTTGCTTTGCATAGTTAAAGCGCACTATCAGTCACTCATATATATA